GCAGCAGGAGTCCCGGGAGAAGTCTGTTCGCTGCAGCTCACGCAGTGCGGTCAGAGTATCAATCTCAGCTTTTCAACGGATCTGGACTTTTCCTTCGGAAATAAATGATGCCCTAGAGCAAAATAAAGGAATGGTTGCAACTGAAGTTTCATAGGTGGTGATTGGATAATTGATTGCTAGTCCAATAAAAAGTAACTGATGATGAGTTTGTGGGCTCATACATCATTTCTGTGCTGTGACTGATAGATTAAAAAAAAAAAAAGGTAGGAAATGGGGTGAAAAATTGGTAGGATACTGTGAGGCTGATCTGATTTTTTAAATTTTGTTCTTGCTTTCCTAGGTGGGGCTGAGTACTGCAATAAGAAAAGCAAGAAGGATTATGAAGACTTCCAAGGACCTGGTAAGTTTTCAGTGACATTAGGGTGTTTTACACTGTGCTTGCATTTTATCAGGAGTGAGTCCTTGTTTATTTTGCCTGATGGTGAATCCACCTGATCAGCACTGAGTTGAATGCTGACTCACTCCTACCTGGTATAGGATCTGCTGTATCAGGTGACATTGGGATGAAGGAGAGAGAGATAATAGAGACGAAATATGAAAGTATAGGGAGAACAAAAAAAAAAAAAAAATGAAAAATGCCAACTTCTACTATCCCAACTTACTTTTGGTGGGACAGCCAGCCTTAAAACAAAATACAAGCAGATATAGACTTAGTTAAATATTTTACAAAAGCAAGAATTTCCCACTCAGCCTTCCCCTGTGGTTTTCTTTCTAAAGAAGCTTCCTTCATTCCTTCAGACTTCCTGCAGTGCTTGTTATTGCGTCTCCTTGTCCCTTATCATGCCTGCGTTGCCCTTGTAGCTGTATGTAAGAGAGAGCCTCATGAACTGAGCCACTGCCTCAGAGCACAGTGACTGCACTTCGGAGTTGTCTGAAACTCAAGCAATAGCCTGAAAGCAAATTCTGCGTATTTTTCCTTTATTTGTAAGAGGCTGCTTTTGCCTCTTAAACTTGAAAACTGGGATTTGAAATCTTTCCGCCTCCAACAGTTTTCAGATTTATAGAGGATCTCTAAAGGGTAGCAGGGAAAGGAAGGGCAGCTTTTATTCTGCTGGGTTCACTTATATGAGTCAGCTCAGCCACAGAGTTTGCTTCCAGTTTTCTTCAGGCACTTACTGCAGAGCAAATGTTTTAGCTGTTTGTAAAGAAATTATTGATATTGCTTCTTCCTGAATCCTTACTGTGATGCTGCTCACAAAAGTGAAAATTGAGGTGCCTAATTAGCCTTTGGGCAATTGCCAAATTGCCAAGCCAGGAAAATAAACAAAGTGCTGGAGAGATGGGTCTCAGCTCCCGCAGAACAGCAACCAGCAGGATCTTATTCATTTTCCTTCCTGTTCAGCGCTGTGCTACTGATGGCCTGAGATTTTCTCTCAAATTACATGAAATTTCTAATCTTCTTTCCCTGGGTGCAAGTCCCCATATTAGCGCTTGCAGCAAGATGCTCCAAGGCAAGGAGGTCCTCTGTTAGCCAGAGCCAGGGTGCAGGTGTAGGGATGAAGAGGGATCAACGTGTTAAGTTCTGCCTTCGGACCACGGGGTTTCTTTGTTCCCTCATGTGCTTCTACCCCTGGCATATTTGGCTACATCCCTTGCATGGCTGGCCTCATGTGGCTTTCGTGGGCCACGCATGCCACATCCTTTTGGGCTCTCCTGAGTAGGGCAGTATGGTTGGCATCAACCTTTGTGAGCAGTGGGATCTCCTTCCATCTTGCCTCTACTCTCCCATATGCTCAAAGCTGTCTCAGTCTCCATCGTGATGTCCTTGGCCCCTTCATGCTCCTACTGGCCCATTTACCAGCGAGAGGGACAGGCAGACTGTGCCCCGGCTAGCAGCATTAAGGTCATAATTGGGTTTCTCCAGTCAGTGTATTTCTAAACCTATGTCACCGCACAACACAAGGTCAGGTCAGATTAAAACGAGTATCACATGTTGGTTGGGCCTCTCCTGCAGTTATTCCTAGCATGTTCCCTGTCATGACCCTTGCTGAAACTTATTTTGAAGCTAGAAAATTAAAAATAACAACATTTCTAGAGGCATTACTGAACCTCACAACTTCTTCACCCAGCTTGCACTTAATTTCATTTCGAATCCAGAAAAACAATGTAGTGAGAAACACAGAGGAATATCTCCAGGGGAGAGCACAGCGCGTGTCACACTTGCGTAAGCCCCATATCCCAGAGCGGTGGCATGTGATGAGATAGTAAGAAAATCAGCTGCACAATCTGAACGTTGCCAAATCAGGGTCTGTTCGCCCGCCCAGGCAGACACACGTGCCACTGAGCAAGGGCCAAATCTGCTCTTGCTGCTGGGGGAGAGGGTTGCTTGGCTGAATGGGTGGGTGAGGATCCAGAAACGCCCTGCGTGGTAGGACATCTCTGCCTCCACACTAGTGGAGAGAGAAAAACATTGACCCGGCCTGTTTTATGCTCTGGCTCATGCTGGACAGAAACACCAAATTGTATCTCCTCATTCTTCCCATATCTGCTAATTTGGTTGCTTTCACCCCATTGCATGTGTGGGGAAAGCCTTCTGAAGGGGTTCTTGCAAGTTAGCTGTCCCCACCTTTGCTTGGTAGCTGGGTGTGACTGTGCATTAAAGAAAGGTGTGATTATAGCTGTTGGTAATGAGACTAGGAGGTCTGGCTAGCTCCTAAGGGTTCGTATTTACTGGGCATTTCTTAGGATCATTGTGATGTTGGGAAAAAGAAAAGGTATTTTCCAGATGTAGAGATGCAGTGAAGGTGGCTACAACCCCCAAAAATATCTAATAAATGTCTCCATTCATTAAAAGTAGTGAGCCATCTGTGAGTGACTGGCTTAAACCAAACACCAACAAGCATTAGGGCCTCATTATTATTCTTTTTTGTAAAACCAATTAAAATAATTACAGGAATGTCATTAGGGAATGTTAACAGGCAATGAATAAAATATTGGTGTTATGAAACACTGTGAGCACCTCTAGTGCTAACTTCTTTATGGGTGGAGAAGATACTAAGAGGCACCTTTGAGCAATAGCAGTGAAAGAATGACAAATAGAGTCGTGGCTGTAGCTTCTAATGAGAGCAAGCACCATGTGTACAATCCTATCATGCCTACGTGGTCCCTGCAAGTCTCCGCCTGGCAGCGGGAGCAGTGGGAAGCCACAGCGGGATCCAAAAGTGAATCGCAAGGCAGAGGGGAGCATGAGCCAGTCTCCTGCCCACCCACTCATGTTACACAGGAACAAGCAACCCATCTCCTCCCAAAAAACACGTGCTGCAATCATAGCCTGGCTCTGCTGGTAAGGACTCTGTAGTGTCTGCTCACCTGTGCTCAAACGCTCTCTCACTTGCACATGCAAAGGTTAACCCTTCTTCTAACCCTGTGCTCCTTGCTGCCCTTTGAGAGTAGCCCAAGGCACCCTCGAAGCACAGACGAGCTGCTCTCCTGCAGAGCTGAAGCATTATGTCTGGACCTCGCGTCCCATGGGCTGTGGGGATGTGTGGGCTGGGGACCCAGAAGCTGCTGTGCTCCGGGACGCTGCTGCAGCTGGTTCTCATCTCGACATTGCCCGTAACACTTCCAAGGCGCCATCATGCCAACCATTCCCACCAAAATTAGGCAGTCTCTGGGGCTGCAGGATAGTCTTCCCTTGCCTACAACTCCCTGAAAGGAGGTTGGGGAGAAGCGGGTGTTGGTCTCTTCTCCCTAATGACAGATGATCGGACGAGGGGGAATGGACTCAAGCTGCGCCAGGGGAGGGTTAGATTGGATGTAAGGAAGAAGTTCTTCACCGAAAGGGTTATCACACACTGGAACAGGCTGCCCAGGGAGGTGGTGGAGTCACCATCCCTGGATGTGTTTAAGAGACGGGTGGATGAGGTGCTGAGAGATATGGTTTAGTGGTGGACAGATACGGTTGGACTGGATACTCTCTAAGGTCTTTTCCAACCTAGTGATTCTATGATTCTATGATTCTATGAAACCAGCAGAGACCCCGTCAGCGTATTTTTTTAAATGACTAGCTGAGAAAAAGGCAGGAAAGATTTTATTCTACTTACAGCAAAGGGTAAATTTTAAATGCATCCCGTGAGCAGAATGAAAGGAGAGTTTTATTTATGTATTTATTTCTTGCAAGCCCTGTAGTTTGTCTTTGTGGTGCAGTTTCAGCTCCAGATGCCTCAAATTCAAAGGCTTTGCATGCTGTGACTTAGGCTGAAGTGAAAAGCCAACAACTCAAAAAAAGACACTGAAGATCTTAGCCTGATGGGAAGCTTTAAGAGCCTCTAGTGCTTTTGTAGGCAGTGCTGGGATTAGTCCTGCATGGAGGAGGTGGGGGAAGTGGTTTCTTTTCTTTTTCCAGGCAGGCATATATAGGTTTGCAAAGCTCTTTGAGAAAAGCTGTTGTCCTGCTCGCACTCTCTGCCTACCTGGTCATACGTGCATATGGACACACAGGGAGCAAAGAGGAGGTTTACGTTCCTGCCGTGCTGCAGGACATACATCCAAGGCAGCCAGGGTAGTAGGGAGCTTAAATACAGAGGTGTAGAGGGATGGGGAAGAGCACAGGATGACCGGAGCCACAGCAGTGGAACCAGGTTGGTCTTTCAGCTCAAGGAAAGGGCACACTCCCTGGCTGCTTTTAGCCATTTCTAGCCACTTCTTCTGTGGTTGTGTGCTGGCTTCTCCAGTAACTCCACCTCCACCTCATGGCCCCCTACAAGACTCCAGCCTTGTCCTTTGGGAGTGTTGGACAGCACTGAAGAGAGTTAATTGATGCACGGTTTTTACAGGTTTCTTGTCTCTTGCCTCCCTGGCTTTCCTTCATTTTTTCTCCTTCGATTTCTCTATTGCATCCTTCAGGAAGTGCACTGTTACAGCTTCACCTCCACTGCAGGTCTCACCACTCTTTTCCATCTTCACCTTGCCACTTGGTCACTCCAGCCACCAGTGCAAATGTTGGCTACTATCTTTGTACTAGGGTCTCTATCCTCTCTTCACTACCCCAGCCTTCCTCTCCACACCGAGATCCTGGCCATGACACATTGCTGTGGCTGACCTCCTGCTCTGGGCAGCACGAGAACCTCATCTCCATCACCCCTTGTTACCTTTCCAAGCAAACACCTTCCTGCCTTCCCTGAGGCTGCAGGGCCCTTACACCCTGCGGCACGACTGCCTCACTGCCCTGCACTGCTGCCTCCAAGTTCTCCGTGGTCACTCAGAGCTTTATACGTCGGTGTTACTGCACCCTCACAGTGATTAACAACCTTTTGTTGTCCTCTCCAGAGATATATCCAACCTTTATCTTCTGTTTTATGTTAGATTTGGGTGGTAATCTCACTAGGGCAAGGACCATCTTTTTTTTGTATTTATTTTCCTGTGTATATAAAGTGCGTAACACAAGAAAGTTGGTCCAAGGACAGAGCTGTTAAGTGCCATGGCCACATAAATAATTACCCTTCTTTGCATAAAGTTATGAGTATGCCCATCTGCTCCATATTTACATGCTGAATGCAGCCTTAGTGAATAGAGTTAATTACACCATGCACCAACAAGCCCTCTGTATTTATAGACCCCTTTTATACCCTCAGTGTTTAAAGACCAGTGAAGTCACATGAGCAGCATGCTTGTGGGATTGATTGATGATGCAATGCAATGTTTCCATAATTTGAGCATTCATCGGGAAGGTCTCTTTCAGTTGGTGAAGCCTCCTGGCTACCTGGAACCTCAACTGGATTGGCCCATGGCTGTGGTCTGCTAATGCTGAAACCTGTAGCAGCTGTCTTTGACAGCTTGCAGGTCTGGCCAAGGCAGAATCTAGTTATGATATTTCCAGGTAAAAATCTCATTAAAAAATCAAGGGCATTCTATGCACATGCTGGATCCTCCCTTTCTTTGGGATCGTTCCTGACCTTTGGCTTATCCCCTCTCTGAGTGTGCAGAAACCAGCCTTATGGCCCATAGTGTGTTGCTTTCACTAGTTTTGCACTGTCAGGTACCATCATGTTTATGGAGCATGAAAGCAGTAATTTTTACAAAGGATAAAAAAATAACTTGGATACATGAGAGAAGACTTTTTACAAGGGCCTATAGTGACAGGACAAGGGGTAACGGGTTTAAATTGAAAGTGCGGAGGTTTAGATTAGATATCAGGAAAAAAATTCTTCCTGGAGAGAGTGGTGAGGCACTGGGACAGGTTGCCCAGAGAAGCTGTGGATGCCCCATCCCTGGAAGTGTCCGAGGCCAGGCGGGATGAGGCTTTGAGCAACCTGGTCTAGTGGAAGGTGTCCCTGCCCATGGCAGGGGGGTTGGAACTGGATGGTCTTTAAGGTCCCTTCCAACCCAAACCATTCTGTGATTCTATGATTCTCTAAGACAGTTTGACAGGAGCTTCTTCCTTTAAATTTTACAGCTCTTTGGAAGCAGGAGTAGTTGGTTTGTAAAATGGGCAGTTGAAACACTTGACTGCTGTGTCAGATCTAAATCCTCTGGCATGTAGCATCCTTAATAGCAACACTGGAATTTTCAGATGTGTCTAGGCAGAAAATAAATTATTTAGTTCTGGACTTTACTGACATTGAATAAGCCAAGCCACGCCGCCTCTGTGAACTAATGCATCCATCTTTTGTTTTCTTCCCCTCCAGAAAAGCTTCACGGGGTTCTCCAGTGTATGTGCATTTCCTCTTCTGGCTAACCTCTGTGAGAAGATTAAATAGTATGTATAAAATTTTCAGTCCTTTACCAGAAACAGAATATGGTACATTTGTTCCTTTCAAAAATCATCCTCAGTTAACAAAGCTTCCTATACTTTACTTCTGTTGGTTTCCTTCATAAAACCACTGTCTGGGTAGCATAGAGGGAGGTTGCGCAGAGTTCAGGTAAGAAAGAATCCTCAGAGGGATTCAGTACTTAAAATATTTGCATAATTTCAGCAGGTCCCAGAGGTCAGATATGCAACATACTCAAGGATACGGCACCTCCACGGGGAGCCAGTTTTCTCCGAGATTTCCTGAGCCCAGGAGACTTCTCCATTTCATTTGTTCACCTGGTTGTGGTGCCCATGGCGCAGCGCAGGAAGGCCACCAGAACCTATATAACTCTGTGAGGAACATGAATTAAGTGGAAGTTGCAAAGTGTCGGAGAATCTTAAGGTATTTAAGAAAGCCAGGTGGATGGCAGACAGGAAAAACAACCTAGAGGAGTGCTGACTTTGAGCCTGTTTCTGAAGAAGGCCGAGGACATCAGCTGGGCTAGTGCACCTAAATGAGTACTCCAGTGAGTTGGAGGAGGAGTCAAGCGAATCTAAGAATAAATCAGTATTATCAGCAGTAAATTTTCACTGATTTGACTGCCAAGACTAACTTGCTCACCTATTTCTGCTCATTTAATTGAAACTGCAAATATCAGGAGTTTATTGAGTTGATTAACGTGAAACATCTTGGAAGTGCCTTTGAAATATGTCAGGACAAATAATCTGAATTTGAGCCCTGGGTTCTGACAGTGGAAGCAGGAGTTCTGACAGTGGAAGCACGAAGCAAATTGTGTATCGTATGTTGGAGCGAATGTTTTCAGCTCCTCCAATCTCTCTCATGCACTCTCTCTCACTCTCTCTGGTTTTCTCTTTCTTCCTTCTGTACCTACAAAACCCATGTTTGGCAGTTGGACTTTTTTAGCTGGTCTGGACCTGTGCCAGTTGCTTGCAGCTGAACCTTACTGCAGAGAAGCCCAGAGCACCACTTGGAAATTATTGATTACAGACAGAATAAGGGTTACAAACCCCACCAGGACTGCATGTCACCCATCTCCTCTGTATTTTTTCTTATCCTGATGATCATGCAGTCTGAGAAATCCACCCTCATTGCACCTATTGGCTCTCTAAGCCAAGTTCAATGTCTCTTATGAGTTCAAAAGGTTGGAAAAACTCAGAAAGAAAACTTTCCAAGAAATGTCTGACTAGCATGTCATTCAAAGAGTACTGCCTGCTGGGCCAAATATGAAAGGCTGCTCCGTGTAGGTGCTAAGGTGTGTCCCGTAGCCAAAGAAAGGTGCCACGTTTGGGCAGCACCATGTGAAAGCTAGCACATGTCCAAGCTAAAAAGGAAGGGGCACAGAGCTGACACCATCGTTTTAACACCCACTTCAGGTATGCTAAAATCTATAGTGTTGCTGGAAACAAAACTCACAATGGGAAAAAGAAAATAATTTTCAAATGTTAATATGTAACTAAGCACTGTGGGAGACCACTGAGGGCTCAGGTCTCCATTGCTCAAATCGAAGTAAAATAGCGTTCTTGAGCATGGCCAGAAGTTTGTGGGAGTGGATACAGAAATTGAGACTCTGATCCTCAGTTAAAGCATAAGGCCTTCTGTGGTTCAGTGTCCTTCTTCATATTAAATCCACTTTTAGCCTGGTATGCAAACTGCAAGTCTTCTACACTGAACACAACAGGAGACAGATGGTGTAAAGATTGAGGGATGGCTATGAGAAAGGGTATTTGCCATTTGTTTTGAGCAAAAGGAGGAGTTAAGTCTCCATCAGCATAAGGTCCTATTCTGCAGTTCTTTCCCAGGTGAAGGGACTTCTGCCAGGCTGAGCGTAGTATTTATTTCCAAAAATGATAGTTATTTTTACCACAGATTTGATGTCCTAGTTTGTTTCAGAGACTGAAGGTTCGGCATTGCAGCTGTACACAAGTCCATCAGCCTCACCTCCAGAGCTCAGTCAGCAGATACTGAGAGAAATCAGAATTTGCTCCTTTGGGCAGAATGACTTTGCTGAAGTACAAGCACAGAGCTAAACTTGAATGCGGAGCTGCCAACGACGTGCCGGCTGTTACCTATTCTGTACACTTTGCCTTGTTTTTTTTCTTTCTGAATAGGTTCCTTTCCATATGTTAACACTGCGTTTGTTGTTTTGTTTTTTACAGTGTCATAAGAAATAAACTACCTTTTGAAGATTTTGATGGAGATAAATTTAGTACTTTCCCGGTAAGCAAAGCCTTTCCTTTGGTACAGTAATCCCTTGATAATGAGAATGTCTATGGGATTCCTCCTCCTTTCTGCAAAGCCTTACTCATTCATGTGAAAATAGGTATAGACATGAATGGAAGGGGGTTTTGTCATAAAAGGTGGTTTTTTTCTGGATGATAAAACAATCATTCGTTTATGCCACCTGGGGAGATGCACACATAAAGCTGTGCTCCCTGCAGAAGCAAATTGCTCTGCTGCTGAGGGGTCTGTTTACTGAATTAATAACAGGTGAAGTAAAGCCTTACAAAAAAAAAAAATTGCCAGCTTGTTTTATTTCTGCACCAAAGTGTGCAGGGTGTCATTTATTAAAGCTTAGCAAAGGGTCTCAGGAATACAACCCATTAACTGGGTTTTATTCCTACACCTTGAGTTAGATTCTCATTTTAGATATTTTAAATTAAAAGTGCAGGAGCAACAATGAACATCCTATCTGTGTGCTTCTCCTGGCTTTCAGACACTGAGGGGCTATCACTGGCGAGGCAGAGACTGCAACGACAAAAACACCACGGTGTACCCTGGCAGACGGTAAAGCTTTTAATTATTTTAAAGGCTTGCTAGTAATTGTGGCTTCTTGGAGAACGAGCTCCATACTTAGTTTTGGCCATGCTCTCAGAGAGCACATCACTGCTCACTGCTTGGTTTCACCGTGATGGAGATGAGAGGGGATGATCGAGACCGGGGATGGAGTGCGTTAGCGTGGGGGGTGGTTCACAGGTTCCTTTTCTTTCTCTGAAGCGTCCGCAGCCAAAATTGGTCAGACAGACCAAAGGTGGGGAGGGAAACCAGGCTGCTGAGGCTTACAGGTCTTATGCCACTTGAGCTAATGCTGTGCCTACTTCAGGGAGCAGCAGGGTGGGAGGGCAGAACTGCGGTGCTCGTGGCTGACGGCTGAGCTGCAGCATCCAGTCCTCATGTCATGTTGGTGGAAACGTAGAGCTAAATATGTGCCCTTCTAAGCGAATATCTTCTAGGTGAATACATCCCAGCTGCCTGAGCATGGGCTTCCATGCCCTCCTGAAACAGAGAGCACAGTCCTTCCTTACTGCGTGGCCCCGCATGTGGTCCCCCCTCTTGCTGTTTTACCCTGTGCTCAAAATACTCGTTCAAAAAGAGAGCTCTCCTCTGCCGTGGGTTTATTAGGAAGTTATTGACCAGGACTGTTTCTTAAAGCCTAGGCATTAACTGGCTTGCGACTAGATCAGCTGAGTTTAAGGGTGTGGGTTTGGAAGGATTTTGTGCCACCAGCCTGGGCAACACACCTGCATGAGCCGCAGTGGCTTGCAGAGTCCATGTGTGGTGCTGGACTGAACAGGTGGGGTCTCCCCATCAAAGAGGCCTGAGCTAATTCTGCTGTGTTATGGGCCAGAGCTAATCCTCACTACCCTGCACCGAATTTGGAGTGAGAGGCTTGGTGGATTTCAGTGAACGCTTAAAGGCGAGGAAAAGGGCCTGTCTTTTGCAAAAATCATCCCCATTCACTTCATTCAAGTGAATATGCAGACTTAAAGGGTGTTTCATTCAGCAACTTCTTGTATTAGCTTTAAATTAATATTATGTTTCGCTAGGAAAAACTGCCTCTCCTCGGTTCAAAGGAGGAAAAAACCCACCCTTCCATGCTGAAAGGAATTTTTAATTATTTTATATCCTTAGTGAAAAACGACAGAAAGGATCTGATTTCCTCAAAATCCCCTTTTGCTGTATTTTCTCTAACACTGTAATATCCTTTGTAACTCTATTTCAGTCCTGATAACTGGGATGTGGAAAGTGACTCTAACTGCAATGGCATATGGGTAAGTAAATGAAGTTACATCTTACACTTCCTTCTTGATTGCTCCTTCTCGTTTTTCCTTCTTTTAAATTAATCTGCAAATCTTTCTTTTTTTATTTATTCTGGTTTATTAACTGATTTGGATTACTCCTATTTATTTACTTCCTTGATATTCCAAGTAATAAAACTGTATTTATTAAAAACTAGAAACGTAGGGCAGCAGTTATGAGCAAAGTTTGTTTATTGATGCTTATGATTATTTAAATTATAGCTATTATAATTAATTTAAATGTACATACACTTATTACAATAATGTAATGGAAAACATCATTATCATGATGCAGGGCTTCCTGCAGGCAAACATTCGAGAAGAACTGAATTCTCAGCCTCTGTTTTGCACTGCCATTTTTCAGGCAGGAGGTAGATACTATCACCTGCCCCTTCTCTTCTCCAACAGGGCGTGGACCCAAAAGACAGAATTCCCTATGAGGAGAAATTCTGCAAAGGTAAATCTTTACAGTCAATACAAAAAGCAATGTGTATTTTGTATTCATTTCGTAAATATTTCAATATTTTCACAGTCATTGGCAATGTAGGGGAAAGGCAACGGGTTTTACAACTTCATGAGAAAGGCAAAATGGCAAAATCTGAGTTTTTTCTTTAACCTTGAGGATGGGCAAAAATGAAACATGAAGAGCACAGGCTGCTGGTAATTTCCTGTTAAAAGCCAGCTCAGTTATTAGGTTGAAATGCATAGACCAGGGACAGCAGCAGAGATGTCACCTCTGCGTCTTCTGTGGTGCCTGAAGCCTAAGCCGGAGGATTCAGGAGAGTGGTTTAAGCTCCGTGTGTGTCCAGTTTGACCCGTTGCTGCAAATACCAGCAGGTGTGCCCGCAGCGATGCCGATACTTTTCCAGAGAAGGCCTTAGAGAGGTGAAGGGATGCCACCAGCTGATCTAGACAGTGGTGTGGGTGTCGGTGCATGCACATATGCACAGATAACACCTCCACACAACAGCTGTGGCTACAGTTGCTGCTCACCTTGCCTCACATATAAATCAGCGTCCTGAGAATGAACCGTTGCCTGGCAAGACTTTTCAACATTTTTAGATGAAAGGCAACCTTCAAATGCTAAGTAACATTAATTATACACCAGCCAAAGCAGGAATACTCATATGAGTAGCACATCCACCACCCAGTTCTGTTATAAGGAGCTTTGAGCAATTTCCTGAGTAATCCGATTTCTCAACACGTTTAAGTACTTTTTAATGCATATTCTATGGATAGTAAAAATAAATGTTGGCTGCACAGCAAAGCCTCTGCTTAAATAACACATCCATCCTTGCATACAACCAGGATTTTTTTCTGATTAGCAAGACCTCTCCCTCTTTTTCATGCCCGGTCCCCAGTTGTTTCTCTAGAGCTGTTGGCACATGCCTGTTGAGTCAGATTTTGCTGCAGATGGAGCAAAAATCCCATTGCAGGGTCTGAACGTTTCAGCCACACACACATGGGGGTGGTGTAGCCAGTCACCCCGTGACCCCATCAGCTGCCATTGCTCTTGCTCTGTAAGGGCTGCTCTCAATCCTGTTTTAGTTTGCTCTTTCTGCTCGTGTGACTAATAAAATCCGTTAAATAGGTGCGGACTCGCAAGGGGTCGTGCTGCTGGGAGACTCGGCCGGCGCTCACTTCCACATCCCTCCCGAGTGGATGACCGTCACGCAGATGTCAGCGGTGAGGACTCATGTTTGGGTTGCTGAAACTGCTTTGCCACAGGTTGCCGTTTGCTGTCTCCCCTCTGCCGCAGTTTGCCAAAGGGGAACAAGTGCAAAATGCCCCACTGCACTGTAATTTATGGTCACGGTCTCACGTGTGTCGGTGCCCTCCCGCGGCTGCTCTTCTGAAGATAAAAAAGCATAACCCTGCACCCACGCCGCTCCCCCGACATCTGTGCAATTGGGTCAGGGAAGAGTTTGGCTTCAGTGGCTCGGTCCTGTGCCAGGGACATAAACCAGGACATCTGGCTTTCCGCACACGTTCCTGTGGTTCAAGGAGACACGTGCTGTCTGTGGGATGAGTCCTGCCATTAGCGGGCTTATTGGTAAAGCTCCTTGCTGTCCTGGTGTTGCAGAAGCGACCCCGCTGACAGTCCAGGAACTTCTGTTTTAGGCATCTGGCTTTGAAATGACGTGCCCTGGGTTGTTTTCCCCCTCTGTGGCATAGGTGAAGTAGGTCTAGTACCTCCAGCGTTCAGTCTCTGAGGCTTTGAACAAATACATCTGCAGGTGTTTGAGGGTCATCCAAGGGTTTATGGTGGACTTGTCCTAAAGGGAAGGGTTTGTGTAGTGACCATAAAATATCACTACTACACTGATGTCTTTGGGCGGTATCCCAGCATTTCCTGTTTTCAAACAACAACAGAATGTGCCTGACTGCAAATTACGCTGAGCCTCAGCTGCTGCAGTTCACTGGCATGGAATGAAGTAATTGAGGGGAAAAAATCATTCCAGCAAAGAGGAATTAGGGAGTGGAGATAAATGCACAGGTATGTTCCTGTCCTTCACTGTTGTTTCCTATCCCAAGCCAGTGTCAGTCCCTAGCTCGGGAGGACTGTGTTGTCCTTCTCTGCACAAGGGTGTGTTGCACTGGGGTGAGTGGATCATCATTGCCCACTTTCTCTGCTACTCCTCCACTGGCCTCTGTGTAAGAAGGATATGGACGTTTTCCAGAGAACAATATTTATTCCAAAATGTCAGTAGTTTCAGTGCTGTTGGACGTCTGAGAGTTTCTTGTATTTTCCCGCTGTTGCTCACAGAGTTGAGCTGATTTAAATGTTGCAGATTAGCAGTTGTTTTTCTTTGTTAAACGTTTATGAGCAACAATTAGACAAATTACACTGATGACAGAGCTGATGATGAGCATAATAAATTAGCACTAATGATAATTGAGATTATCATGTCTAATAAAGATGGTAATAATACCGATGGTGATGATGATTCTAGCAGTAACGCTGGTAGCAGAGCCATGTAGGCAAGAATAGTTTGAGACTATGTCAGCATTTTATTATCATTATAATGAAGGTTTAGAAATCATTTCTCTTGCTTGAAGCTTGCTGGTCCACCAGTTGGATGTCTCGAGGGCAGGTAATGGCATGAAGAGACAGAAGCTTCAAGGTCAGGAGCTGGAGTGCAGATTATAAAAGAAGTTTTGATATCACTTTGTTACTGTCTGATGGGTGTAGAGCAACTTGCATGGGAAGGGAGCTGGTGCTCTCTGTGTAAGGCCCAACAAATATATGCTCTCAGTGCTCAACTCCACCTGGCTAGCGTGTGGGGAAGATCAAGGACTGGTTGGAGAGGTAGAAGTGAACTACTTTTCTTTGCAGAAGGGGTAACTCCAGGTTAAAGCTAGTTCCCTGCACTGCAGCAATGAGGGCAACAAGAGATGTGTTCATTCTCTGGCCTTTCACGGTCAGTCCATTCACAGTATATGAAATAAAAGAAATCAAGACGTCACTGGAATCGGAGAAGCTAAATACACTGTATGAGTGAGTGAAAAAGAAGCCTGGACTTCACATGCAGACCCAGAGCTGCCACAAGCCAGTCCCAGGAGAGACATCTCTCATGCACCAGTACAAGGCACCAGGGCTGGTGTCTGTTCTGAGCCCAGTAAGAAAGGGTTGCTTTAAGGTATTGCTTAAAATACCACTTACTGGAGCTAGCAGAAGGTAAAAGAGGATAGTATAGATAACCTTATGTCCCTTCAGACACCTGGCACCCTGAGCTGGGCAGCATCAGACAGACCTCTCACGGGGGTACAACATGATGTGCACATCCCATCCATGGGGAGGTCCTACAGCTCTGTCATCTTTAAAGCTTTTGTAGGATTTTTCTTAGAAGCAAACAACTCTAACCATTATTTCTACTTTTAGACAAAAAGGATGTTCACATGAGACCTTTTTGCTGCACTTTCAGGTAAAGACAAGGCCGTGCAGGGGACATACATAATTGCTGGTACAGAGGGGGAGCTGCCTGCAGGCTCCTCTGTTCGTGTGCTGGTTCCTAGAATCGTAGAATAGCAGGTTGGAAGGGACCTCAAGGATCATCTGGTTTGACCTTTCTTGGCAAAAGATGGCCTACCACCCTGTCCAGCTGTATCTTAAAAAGTGTCCAGTGGTGAGGAATCCCTCACTTCCCTGGGGAGATTATTCCAATGACTGATTGTTCTCATTGTGAAAAATTTCCTTGTGACTCCTTGTAAAAAAGGAGTCTCCATCTTCTTTGTAGCCACCCTTTAAATACTGGAAGATGGAGATGAGGTGTCCCCTAAGTCTTCTTTTCTCAAGGCTGAACAAACCCAGCCTTTCTTTATATGGCAAGCTTCCCAGTCCTGTGGTCATCTCTGTGGCCATGCTGTGGACTGTCTCCAGCCGCTCCACACCTTTTTTGTATAGCGAGGACCAAAACTGAACAGAGTATTCCAGGTGGGGCCTGACAAGTGCTGAGTAGAGTGACTTCTTTATCTCTGCTAATGATGTTCTGGTTGATGCAGCCCAACATCCTGTTCTTTTCCACAGCAGCACGCTCTTCACACATATGGAGCTTGTCCACCTGGACCCCCAGGTCCCCTTCAGAAGATCTGCTCCCCAGGCAGGTAGATCCCAGCCTGTGCTGCGCTTCTGGGTTATGTTTTCTCAGGTGCAAGACCTTACACTTGTCTTTGTTGAACTTCGTAAGGTTCTTGTTAGCCTGCTCTTCCAGTCTATCCAGGTCTTCCTGCTGGGTGGCTCTCCCTCCTGAAGTGTCCACTTCCCCACTCAGTTTGGTATCATCAGCATGGCCTGAATGCCACACTGTGTGGATCACAAACTCCTCTGTGTGCCATGGTCTTCCCATCAGGACACTGCCTGGTGCATGCTGCTGGAGGTGCGCGGCCAGGCTTTTCCCACCAGAGGAGGTCAGGTGATGGGACGTCATTTCACAGCTAGAAAATAAAACCAGGTGGCAGGACGCCAATGAGGCAGCTCTGGTTACGAATCTTTGCAAGAAGAACTGCTTGTCAGGAAAGCGCGGCTAGCCCAGCCCTAGACTTTGGCTGCAGGGTCACCTTCCTGAGGACCTGGTTGTCTGGAGTATGGTGGCTGAGGCTCAGATCCTGGCCTCAGACCTTCACTACCGATGCTGCTGCACTGACTGTTTCCACACATTTGGCTCCTACCATCCATCTGAGCCATTCACTGGGTGATACCACGGGAAGTTCTCAATTATACCTCCAAGGCCTTCTGCCAGACCAAGCTCCTGAAGACTGGGCCATGCTGGTTTACCTTTGGAAGACCAGGTTCCTTTTGACTACACTTGGGTCATCATTTGTACCAGTGCAAAGTGCATATAAAATTATAGAATGCTGGTCTGGCAGCAATTCAGGATATGCTAATAAAGTAGAGGAACTTGAAAAAGTAGATTATAGCTACCCAGGACAGAGCAAGGCTGGGAGAATTGCCTTGCAGGAAATGCAGCCCTCCTACAGCTAGCTGAGCACTGAGTAGTGCACTGCACAGCCACCCAGGTGTCTGGGGTACGTGAGATTTGGGATAGCAAAGAATAGGCTCTTTTCTAGGACTATTTGCAAGCTTTCCTACTGACCTGGCAAAAATACAGCAGTTAATGCAGAGATAGAGAGTTCAGCCCTATAAACAAACAAGTATCTGTTTTTAAACTCTGAAGTTACTTAATTTGCAGCTCACTTTAAGTAAGAAAGTTGTCACCTGAGCACAAAAATGCTGGCAAAAAATTTTCTGTGCTTGTTCAGACTTTGCCACTGCCTCTTCCTTTTTCTTGGCCTCTGTGTCTTGCTTTCTTTGTGTAGAAAAGCAATAGCAGCAACTTACCCTGCCTCGGAGTTGTGAATACTGGTGTATTGCACCTGAGGTATACTATTAAATACTGTTGGCAAACGTCTTTCATGTGTAGGTCTAATTAACAGGCTTCAACCCTTTTTCAGTGTGAGGCCTTCCTCAAGGAGGATTTCTAATCACATCCAGGGGTGGCTTTCTGACCAGCATGAGTGCAAAGGTTCTGTGTCTATCTCACAGAAAATATTCTTAATTTGGGATCACAGCAAGAATTTGAAGTTAGAGCTCTGAGAGGGGAGGATTGTGCATTAGCCTCATGTATCTGCTGTTCCCCCAGTCTATCAAACTCAAGACAGTTCACTTTGATTCTGCCAAAATTTCTTTGATAAGACACATAGAAATATTAGTTTATCAAACTGTTTTCTCTGCGGTCAATACTACAGTCAGTTCGAAGCTTTAATTTCCATTTCAGTAGAATCTCAACTCTCTACGTGGAAATCCAAGTAGGACTTTTCCCCCCTTCCCAGGATTTTTATCATAAGGGCAAGGAAAGTGTTGTGTGCCTGTTAATTCAATATTTATTAAATGTAATTTTTTTTTTACTTTAATGCTTTTCTACATTTTTACATATCTATTTTATATACCTCCATATATTTCCCATATTTCATATCCTTATAAGTGTTCACATATACAAGTGTTTACATATACAAGTGTAAAGAAATTTACACTTGATAACAATTCTGTGGGCCCTTTTGTTAATCAGCACCACATCAGTGGTAGCTGTTAATTCCTGTTTTAAAGCTAAGTAGGCTGGGAAGTAATTTTTCAGGAGAGATGCTGAGAATTTAAAGAGAGTCTGCAGAATGGTTGCTTTCCCTGCGTATGCTGCACATAGTCTACCATGTAAAGGAGCAGTACCGTGAGTGAGGGAAGAAAGAGAATGTGTAGGAGAAATTTCCTTGGTGAAGCAGGCTCAGGATGTTGTTTGGGTAACCGGATGATCGGCACGAGGGTGACCAAAGGGGTGTTTGGGCTGAACAGCTTTGGAATTCAGATACCCTCTCCATTGTCTCGAAGAACATTGTTGGGAAGCTCTTAAATACTGGATTTTGGATTTCCCGGTCTAGTTGGGAATTTACTGCCCTCTTAGCATTGGCTTCTCACAGGGTAACACCCTCCTGTGTAAGCCAGTGCCGGGGGACATGCCCCTGCCATGCGTCCCATGTCAAGGTATGCATCAAGTCGCATCATTCGCTTGCCCGGTATCAAGTCCCCCAGTGCCTTCCCGGTCTCCCTGTTTTCTTAAACCTAAGTGACCAAATGCAGAGACCTGCATCGTGTTCACGCGTTTGTCAAGGAGGCTGTTTTGCAGGGGGGGTGAACTCACAAGCACCTGAGCACCAGCCTGCCTGCACCGACGCAGCTGCAGGCACTCCCTGGCCATTTTGTCCGTCACCGAGCTTGAGACGTGCACTAGGTTAGAGTGGGGACTCATGTTTTCAAGTGCTATTTCCAAAGCCTTTACCTACGACACAGGCACAGATACAGTTGTCATCCCACTTAGGTCATGTTCTTCCCACAAAGAGTGTACAGAAACACTACTTGGCATGGAAAATGTCCACGGCAAGGTGGACACATCTTTGAAAGCTATAGTTCAGGCGTGTTATTTCTCCAGTTAAAAAAATAACACAAAACAACAAAATAAAACCACCCCACCCTGTGTAGCATTAGGGGAAGTTGCAGGTACCTTGATCCTGAAGTTTTTGACCAACCTGGTACTGCTGAGTCCCCAACCCTACCTTACGGGATCTAGCTGAGGTGCAGAAACACAGAGAAAACGATGCTGGGACTGTCACCGAGGGTACCTGCCCGCATGTTCCTGCAGGAGCTGCTGGGCACGTGGCTCTGTCCTTAGCCTGCCATCACCCCAGTAAACCCCCAAACACCCAGCGTGCAACTGCAGGAAGAGAGTCATACAGCTGTAAGAAGGGCATGAGTCAACTTTATTTTGGCTTTCTGCTTGTCAATCGTTCTTCGGTTTGCCAGGCTTTTCCTCTTTTAAAAGGTTCAGCAAGAATTGAGCTGAATGTTCATTCCTTTGACCTGAAAATTCGGACACTGACAATGGAGTGTAATGCAGTGGACTTGCACTTTGTGATGTTTAGCAAAGCAGAAGGAATGCTGGGGCATTTTCGGAGGTGGATGGTTTCTGTGGAAAGCTAATGTTGACAACACTGGTGTGTATAGCAGTGGATATTGTGTTCCTGCTGCTCTGTCCATCTGCTTACAATTGACCTCCAAATAGCTACTAAATGCAGCATTTTTCTGTTACATGTTTGGAATAGAAGCTTAATTTTAAATCTCATTTTAGAGACAATTTTATCTGGAGATAAATGCACTGTATTTACAAATGTGCTGGACATGATACCCTTTCTAGGAAGATGTATTTTAAAGCTCTTGGATCGCTATTTCATGCTGAATAAAGAGAAAAATAATTCCCACATCTATCTGTAATCCAGTAAATACCTATTTGCCCACAAACTCAAGGGGTTCTCAGGTTTCATTGCAGTAACTCTTTCATTTCCTATGAAAGGAATTCAGCATTTCTTTAATGCGTATTCAGGAAGTCCCAAACACTTATTTCACTGACTTCTCTTTTTGCACCATTAGAAAAAACGGGAGTTTGCTCTGTGAAAATCTTATTAAAAACATTCTCTAGCTTCCCTCTAAATCCAGTAAATTGCAGGCAGGTTTCTCCCAGCTAGTAATATGATGACTAAGATGCTGCATTTGGGGGGAAATAAGGTAATGATTTTGCTAATTTCAAACCTATGTCCCTTGCAGCTTTACAGAGTAGAAATGCCACACATACTTTTTAAAAAGATAGGCTGTTCCTTCCTCGAGAGCTATAAGGTTTGCTTATTTTTGTACTTAGAATAAGAAAGTTGCCTGTGGTACTTAATGCTATCATGAGGATTTGAATACCATTAAAGTCACTATAAAAACAAAAAACCCAATTCCCCTTCAAATCAAAGGATACTGCAGTGCTTTCAGGATTTCTGGGGCTGGCATTTCTAACAGCTTATGTGAGTGTTAGGTTTCCAATGCCCTTTTGTGTCCTCCTTGATTTTGAAAACCTCTTGCCATAGCAATCTTGAACATCGTTCCGTTTCAGCTGACTTGGTCCAGCGCAGCTCGGCGTGTGTGCATTTAGCATCAGCCGTGGCTTGCCAGGTGCAAGAGAAGAGGGAGGCTTCAGGGACATGTATTTCAAGGTAGGACATGTCTAGGAGGTGAGGTCGTTCCTTCAAAATGAGACCCATCTAGACCATTTGAGGCTAAAATATGGCATTTGAAGCTAGGCTGGAATAACTTTCTAATCATTCTCTGCCAAAATCTGGCACGTAGGCTGAAGCATGGTTTCTCAGCCAGCAGAGTCTAGAGAATGGTATTTAAACAAGACTCTGCTCAAAAGAGTTTTAAGCTAAAAGTCATCATAGAGCCACCTCTAGAGAGGGACACATTTGCATCTGAGACTAAGTGAAATGCAGTCTGTTCGACCGTGCTTTCCAAACTGCACCCCTCCAAAGCTCAAGGTCTAGCATTCTTCTGAAATTTCCATCGACTACTCAATCTCACCCTTTGGTCCTGACATATCTTCAAAATTCTGGCCTTAAGTGCTTTGCTGGAACAGTGTCAATGCTAAACATATACACAGTTTTCAAATGCAACTGTAATTCTGGGTTCAAATGTTCCTTTCCAAACCATTTTGCAACTCACTTAGGTTCTTGCAGGGGGAAAAAAAAACCCAAACCCAAAACCAAACCAAAAAACCCCACCCAATTAAAAATTATTGGTACTTGTCCAATGAAAATATTATTTTGGAGTTCCAGTGGGAAATAATGAGAGAACTGGTGATAGCAGGATTTGTTTTAAAAATATTTAATAATTTTGGAGCTCTCTTTATACTTTTGTATGCTGTGACTTATAAGAGATTATATCTGTAGTTTCTTCTATGCTAAGTGATTTATTTCAGTATTTCTGTCACCTTTAATGCAGAATTACAAAGAGGCAAATACTGCAAATGGCCAAGCCATGCTGTACCCCTCCATTTCTGCTCATAGCTGTGCCCTTGGATTACAACTTCTTTATACACGAAATTTATCAGATTTGAAGAAGGTAAATTTGGAATTTCCCTCCAGTCTTAAAAAAAAAAAAAAAAGTATGTATATACAGTTAGACATAAGGACACACACATGTGTATGTATGAGAGAGAGAACCAACTGAAAGATGATTAAGCCAGACCCATTTTCACCTTGGTAACTAATGCAGATCCACTGTAAGTAGATCAAAGATGCTGTTACATGCTTTAAATTGTCATCTGCTCTGGCCAGGCTGCTCAGAGCTTGGTTTCAGGATTTCTCCCCCCCCAACGACCCCTCTTTTCTCACCTCTCCTCCCCTTTCCCTGCATCTCACCCCAACCTCTTACAGTCACCCAGAGGCATATAGTATATGGCGTAGCTCCCGTTCACCTAATAAACGATAATGTTGTGGGAATGAGGGCTTCGTGAGAACCGCAAGATTTAGGTCTTCTGTGGCTCCTCAGTTACCTCTGACCCTCCTGGAGAAAGAATTACCCACCTGCTTGCTGTTTATAGCAGTGAGGGTTTAAGGAAACCCCACAATTGCTTTAAAAGAAAATGAATCTAATAAATTACACTGATTAAACCAGCCTGTAAGTTCTCTGATTTTATGTTTTGACCTTCTTTTGGCTATTACCTTTTTCGTCAACCGTTTTTCAGTAGGATCGCAGCGGATTTATGCATTTGTCTTTGCGAGCAGTCCCTGGACTAGAAGCTGAAAATTTACTCCGTGGTCTCGTCTTTCTGAGGTGGCGCGATTTCTTGAGTCCATTTTTCTCGCCTTTCAAGATTTTTGACATATTCACAAATCAAAGTGGAAACGAACAGGGAACTGTGGTTTTGATGTTGCCACATGGCTTGAATCTGCATAGGGACTTTCATAAAGGCAGTCGTTTAAAAATAACGTTAGGCACCAATACCAAAAAAAAGCAGAGAAGAGTAAAGGCTGCATCTATTTGCGTGGGAAGATTCTGGCAGACCGTGTGTTTTTCTACCTGGTCCCTGTGCTCAGGGGCCTTTCTGACTCTGTTGCTTCAGTGCCACCTACAGAATTTACAGTGAGGACCAGGCAGAGGTTTCCAGGTGGTCAGATGCTCACACTTCATCCTGATGGAGGCGACTTGGGAGATTTGAGTTAATTTGACATTATCCTTCTGCCATATATGCTGGGGACATCACGCTGTCATCCCTCCCTGTGCCCCAGGACACCCACCTTTGGTCTGGAGAGATGCTGCAGCAAACAGCTGCCGCATTGGTGGTCTCCACCTGCAGTACATACCGCACCTCACGAGGAGTTTTGGGCTCTTCTGGAATTAAAGGGGGCCAAGAGATGCAATTCTGATCTCTCTTCTGCTTTTCCCTCCTCCAGCTCTTGATATGCCTGTTTTACAAGCGTCAACTTTTTAAGTGCTTGTGTAAATACTTACCTCTACAGCTATAGTTTCGATTGCTGCTGCCCAGGTAATGCTCCAGCTAAAAAGTGCTTGAGTTTCCCAAAAGGATTTTTTGTCTGTGTGGGTGAAACAGTGTTGATTTTAAAATTTCTCTTTCAGAAATCATTTGCTAATCTCCCAATGGCTTTCACCAACGAGCTCGACTGGCCACAGTTCTCCGAGATCACTGGATTTCTGAACTCCACCATTGGGTAAGCCAACAGGCAGGGTGGCCAAGGGGCAGCAAGTCTCAAGGTCCCTCAAAGCACAGCAAGAAAAAAAAACCAAAAAAAACCCACCAAAACCAGTGCTTGGAGGGAGAGATAAAAATGCTAGTCAGCTCTGCTTCTGGTCTTTCTAGAATCAAGATCAACACTGGATCTAGGGATTTTAAAAAATCTTTTAAATATATGGACAATGCACAATACTCTGGCTCAGTTTTCCTGAAATTCAGGGTAGTTTTCAAAGCTGGTCAAATTGTAATTTAGAAGGAGAAAAAAAAAAAAAGAAGAAATAAAACCCAAACTTGCTCTTTTGAAAATTCTGGGGCAGGGAGAAGGGGAGCATTGCTGAAACTAACAAAAATCAGCATTTTCCTTTAAGTTTTTTTTTTCTCTTTCTCTCTTTCTCCTGTTTTCTTTATGCTGCTGAAACAGTGGAATAAATGGTAACCCCAGGGTTATTTCATAGTGTTCCCTTTTGGGGGACAATCTTTCTTCTCCTTTTGGTTCTTTTCACATTTAGAGGGAAGTAGCAAAAGAAGAATTTGTAAGCACCTGTGACCTAATTTGCAGTGTTACATTGGCTCATGTGGATGGGGAAGGATGCAGGGATAGGTGGAAAAATAGAAGTCTCTGCCAGAAGGGTAGGAAAATAAAGTCCAAATGCAAAGAAAACAACTTGAAAAGCCTTCAGTTTTAACTGTGAAGTAAAAAAAAAAAAAAACAAAAAACCCACCCCACTCATAATTTTGTTAATCCCCTTTCTGGCCAGCACTAAGAGGGCTTTGACTCCTGCCAGAGTTGAAGGATACAGTCATCAACAGTGCCTGGTCTGGCCTGAGTTTCAGATAATTCTTATTTTATATGTCTAAGATAGGTCATGAATACAGTGAAATGCCAAACTAAGCATGAGTCAAGCCTAAAGAGGCTCTCTACTAACAGAATTTAAAAGTTGGCAGAATGTGTTCTTTTCCAGCAAAAGTATCTGTTGCACCATACACTTTTACACATTTTGCTTCTTTTCTTCCCCCTGTGAAAACAACAGGCTCCCAGCCTCAGCGACATTCACACAGTGTATGCTTTAAGGAGGTACACTACTTGACAGGCCAACAGAGAAGATCTATGCAGCTTCCCCTTTCAGAGTCAGCAGCGGAACTGACCTTTAAAAATCTATTCCGATGTCCAGCTACCCAATAAAGAGTATTGAACTGGGCTGCAAAGAATCTGAAGTTCACAGTTCAAAGCTTAGTATTGACCCTCAGGTTGCCAGTGATAGGCCTTGATTCAGTGTTCAGTTTTTAATCTCATCCGCATCTAGAAGAAAAAAAAAAAAACCACAAACGTTTGAGACTTCAAGGACTTTTTAAGAGAAATAGCTCAAAATCTCAGACCACAACAATTGTGTGTGGAGGAAACTGGTAGGCCACGTGCAGTAGGAGGCTCCCATTTAGTCCGAGCCTGCAGAAATAGAGATATAAACTGATGTGGTCCATGCGCATCTTTCCCATCCTTTCGCAGGTGAACAGGACACCACTGATTAACTGGGAGGTTGGTTTGTCTCTCCTCATCCACCCACCTGCTAGGCTGAAAACCAAAGAGCTCGGGCGTTTCTTGTGTAGCCTGACTGGTCCATGTTATCATGTGTTTCTGTGTAGCTAGTTACTTATCATTGCTGGTTTCAAAACTTATTGTTGTCTTCTGTTTCTCTGCATTCGTCCAAGTTGGCTCTTAAGCCATGTTATTTACGTTATCTGATTCCTTCGGTGTCTAAGTTCAAACACAAAATCAGCAGCCCCAGTAGAGGTACTCATGGCTGTGGGCGTCATCTGCTCATCAGCTTCCCTTTGGGCTGTTATCATTGGCATTTTTCTCAACAGTGCGAACTAAAGGAGAGAACTAATCACAATCATGCATAACCTGTTTTCAGACCAGTCTGTCCAAGATTTATGGCACTGGGAAATGAATGCTCTGCCAATATTTCTTCTCTTTTATTTACTGTTCCGTAACAACCAATTGAAAAGTCAATTAGTGAGCAATCAACAGGATTGTTTTGATAAATGATGTATAACAAAAAGGTTTTTAAACACCTTATCTGAAAGACCAGGATAAAAGCATCCTGGATGGAACAATTTCAAAGACACTCTCCATCAACTTGTAGTTTCTGAGAGATTATCTTGGCTTCCATTTTAGGCCAGCCTGTTCAAGATGAAAAAGATATATGACCACAAAAAAGAGAGATGGTGAAATAGAAGTATAGAAATAACTGGGGCACAGAGTTTTTCAGAGAAGAGCCCATACTTCATTTTTAATCTCAGCTGTGTTTTCATCAGTATCATGAGTTTAGCAGCTTACGTTTTTCTCAATTTATTTCAGAGGCTGGACAGACTCTCTGTATCTACGTTTACGCAGGAGAAATCGCTGTAATCACAGAGACTTACAGAACATTTCTCAAAATGGTAAGTTAATTTTTTTCACTTTTTGTTTTTGAACCTTACTAGTCTGATACTTGACGCTGCGTTAATGACCGCCTTTCAGAAACAAGGAGAAACCCTTTGCTAATGGCATGTGTTTCTTATGGAAAAATAGACAACAGCAGTTATTTAACTCAGTGCCTTCTCTTCTGGCTCTGAGTAGGGAGGTGTGTGGCTTGATCGCTTTTATCTGTGCACTGACTAAGAATTTCCACTGGGCTAAAAACAACTGTGCTCTACTGTATGGGGTGGAGATTTTTTGGCCGCAGCCAAAGGGAGGATTTAGAGGGATGTCACTAGCAGTGATGGAGCTGAAAAATGTGCCCTGCATCTCCCCGGGAGGTGGTGGCATGCTCCCCGCTTGCTTGCACGCCCCTGCTCTGCACACCCATGGAGGATGCTGTGTGTGCCCTGCGCCGCACCCCACAACAGCACAGGCTTCCACACCGGCAGGCAGAGCGGGCACAAAAGAGCCACCAGTCTCATAGCAAGGTGCCTGTGATGTCCTGTGACCTCCTTTGGGGCTGGAGACCGGCAAACGTAAGCTCTCTTGCAAAACTGGGGAGGTCAGTAGTACAGGCATCTTAATGTGGTCTTAGAACAGATTTTAAAGGAGTAATCAGTGATACGCAGGTAAACGAATATTGGGACAAAACTTAACACTGTTAAGTTTTAATTAGTTAATTTGGTGAGGCTGGCTTAACGTCTTCTTTCTATAAAATAACATGCTGTGTTGGCAAGTGTATATGCCTAGATTAAAGGGAGTGTCTTACATGGTACCTCAGGGGAAATGTTTATTATGTACAGTAAACAGGAGGAAGATGAATATGAGAAGTAAGAGGTGCACAGAGAACCAGCTAAGAAGAGGAGAGCAGTGGGTTTGAGAGAGGAGCCTTGTTCCTCGTGCATTTCTTCTGAGGTTAACGCTGCTTAACATTTGGAGTGGTGACCTTAGAGTAGACCAAGGCGCATGCTCGACGGCGTCCGTAAGTGATGCCAAATAGCAGAGTATTAACCATCCTGACAAGTATTAACTATGCTGAAGTGAGCCACATCCTTACAGAGGAATAATTTAGATGAAGTTGGGAACAGCAGTGACAGCGATGGTAGCAAATACACTTACACAAGACACGCGTGCCAGAGGTAATGACGAGAGTCCTGTCTGTCAGCTAGTGGCTCATTGGCCAGAGGTGGTGGAAGGAGAGAGGCATTGGAGCGCAAAGAGGAATTTCAGGGAACAGCCAGGAGTGCAGGATGGAGCTGGAAAGAGACTAAGGAGGTTGCAAAATGCATCATGCACAGCATTTTGTCTAGAGACAGGGAGACAGTCCTTCCTCAAAAAATCCACCATTAAGATCTCAGGATTTGGTCCCTTTTGCCTAGGGAGAATAGACTTTGGTGGGAATAGATTCAGAGAAGGGATCTGGGTAAGATTAGGGCAATGGAGGCTTGGCAACTGAGCAAAGCAAGAATTAAAAGCGATTATGGTTTTGAATCCTTTTGAGGCCTAAACACCACAGAGTGGAAAAAATGGTTTAAACTGAGGGATAGTTCTGGTACAAGAACATGGGTTTTCATTAATCTTATGTCTGTTTGGAGGGGAAATTAAAAAAAAAAAAACCCAACAGGTTTACTATCAAGGAGTGAAAACCTTCAATAGCCCTCAAAACAGATGAGTGTGGGCAAAAAAGAAACCCTGAGCTGTTTCGAGACAAAGCTTGGTTAAATTTGTCAAAGGGTTTATATGAAGGGATGACAGTAATCTCCCTTAGAAATTAAGGTTTATGATGTTAGCTTTTGTGTGTTGGATTAGGTGATGTCCCCAACAGCAGGTTTAAAAGATACTTGATTATTCTCTGATTATCACATTGTGTTTCTTTTGTATTTAATTAATTTTCATGCTTCAGAAAACTGGCTGCAGAAGCTTGGGAAAATCTATTCTCCTCAGATAGATAATTTGGCTTTATGGGATGCTTTTTCCTCTACAACAGATGGGTTATGTCAGCCGTGAGTGAGGAGCACTGCTGCCCCTAGTGCTACTTAGAAACTTCTTAAATGCTTGGGATTTCCTACCAGATTTAGGAGCAGAAAGGGTCTGCCCCAACCCCCAGCTCCAACAGCCATAGAACTTACCAGGCAGAAGAGGTTGCCCGGTCAGGTGGTGTGAGGAAAGGATCACTTCCAGGCTTGGGTGGGTATTTTTGCCTGAAACATTGCCCTCTGCTGCCAGCACTTACGCCACTGGCAATGCCTCTCATACACCTTCATCCTACCTGTGGCACACGTGTTGTTACTGAGGCTTTGGGTCTTCTGCACAAGTGTTTTACAATGTGTTGGGTGTCATGGGTCGGGTGCTTCTGACTTTCTCATCCGCCCATCGCAGGACACTGGAGTTGGTGGCTCCCATTATTACAGTCCCCCATATGTGCTTTCTGGTGAGAGAATGAAGAAAAAGGCCAAACTAGATGAAGCCAATGGTTCTCATTTTTATCCAGTTCATCTTAGTACTGATACCCTGTTACCTTGTTCTGCTCTCTTTACATTAATGGGGATTGTACTTTTTGCTCTTCCTTTTTCCCAATTCCCTCATAGACTTAAAAAAACCCACATCTCTCACTGTGTGCATCGTCCCTTCTCTCTACTTCACGAGTCTCCTTTACACTCACACTACAGACACCTGCAGGATATAAAAGGAGGTGAGCCTGTGTCAGGGCAAAAGACTCTGAAGAAAATTGAGAAGGGAATTTAAAAAGGGGAAAAATTACAAGTGATAGAAAAATCCCAGGATATCTTCCCTCGATATCTTCTCTTAATCATCACACTGACACCGCATTGTAAAGGTCTGCTTCTATTGCCTCATTTGGCATAATAGTTTCCCCGAACAGGAGGATTTAAATGGCCACTCTCAGTGTCACTACAGTGAAAAGCTGGCCTATTCCCACCTAGGACAGCTTAACCTTCCTCTGAAAATGATGTTGCACAGCCCCAGGTATATGCAATGAGAGGAAGAGATGCTAGAGACGCAGATCTGATGAGGAAGACACGCAGCCTAGAGCCAGAGCACAGGGATGGCAAGCTAAACCTGGGACCGAGAGCAACGGGACATCCCAGCCCCCTGCAGAAACACCCTACCAGCGCCGTGTCAGGGGTCAGCACGGAAGGACTTTCCCCCATTGTCCTTCTCGGGCCATGCATCATCTTCACCCTGGAGGAAGGCTTCCTCAACCTCTGTGCTGGCAGGATTTCTGCCTTCCTTTTCTTAAAAAATCCCATTATTCCCTGGAAATGGTGGACCCTTCCCTCTTCTGTGTCTGTCTACGGGGTATGGTGGGCAGCCAGGGCTAGGGAGGCTGTCCCCAGATCTCTGTGTGTGGTAGCCATGGCCCATGAATATATTCACATCAGAATTGCTGATTCATTTTGGGTGACCAACTTTGCTCACTGGGCACCCAAGAGGCTTGGTATACGAGATCTAAGGTTAACAATAACATGTAACAAATCAATTCTCTGCCGCTGTTACTGCTTTCGACTTGTAGTTGCGCGATAAGGAGCTCACAGTCCTAATCGACATTTTCCATTGAGGTGGCTTGCTGAACAGGTTTCTACAGATGATTTTTGTTGGGTCACAGTTTTCATTAAGGTTTTGGCATCTTGCCTTCCAGCAGCTTCCCACAGGTTTGTAGGACATGTGCTATGCTTTTGACTGGGTGAGTGGGATCTTTGGGTGTAAGGGCTGGGCATGAATGCTCAGCTGTGGAGTTAGAAAGCTCTTCTAAATGTTCTCCAGCACCTGATGAAGATCCCTTGTTTTGATAGAAGCATCCTGGTAGTAAAACAGTTTGCTAAAATATTCAAAGAAATCATTAGATAAACATGAGGAGAGTGAATACCCTCAGAATTTCTAAATAAATACAGAACAATCTTGTGATTGTCATCCATGTTTTGCAGGAGATACTTGGATAATGTATCCTATTTCAAAACAAAGCTGGTGTATATTCCTTTGCTATTTGTAGTCTGACCTGTGTCTTTGGGATTCTTGCCTTTGACCAGGAAAATTAGGCCTTGTCAACACATGCTGTGGCTCACTAAATCACCAAGCACCAGACATCTCACAGTGGCTTCAAAACCATTTAAGAAAAAAATTTTTTTTTTTTTTCCTTCAACTGTGTCGGAAATTCTAGTCCACCTGGAGTTCATCTGGGGAAAGTCAGAGACTTTTTTTTCTTTGCACCGTTACATTTCCAATTGCTTGTGCAGCATAAGGGAGCAAAAGATTAGAAGGCAATAAGCCATTCTTGGCCACACAGCACTTTTGATGCTGTCTGGATCTGGGCTCTGTCTCTGCATGTTAGTGCCGCTCCTTGCCAGGCACACAAGGACTAGAGCAAGAAAATCAAGAAGTGCAGCTCAAGTATTCCAAGGTTTGTGAAATTTCAGGTTGCTCACAAGCAGAAGCAAACCAACCCTGACACCTCATCCAAAACTAAAAAACCCCACCAGTCTGAAAGTGTTTGGAAAGCAACAGAGAGGGGGCCAGAAGAGATCCAGGAACAGCTGCCAGGACATTCAACAGTGTAAGGGTAACTGTTCTGCCTCATCTCTTTCTCTTTCTTGAATGTTTTCATCACAGATTGCATTCTGTATCACAAACACTTCCTTGAAGACTCAATTTACCCATGAAAACGGTTCTCTAAAAAAACCCCTTCGTTTTCTTGATGTTTTTACTTGATTTGTAACTGATAATGCTTTCTGCAGAACTACTTATAACTACCTATGCTTGTGAAGGTAATACATACCCAAGAACAGCTACTTACTTTTTTCTAAACACATTTTTAATTTCTAGAGATCCCAAGAGTTTATTTGGGCTGGAACTGCAGGTCCAGTCCAGGGAGCCACACGGCAGAATGGCTTAACAGAGGGGCGTTGAACTCTAGCTGGAAGAAGGGCTATTAGGCAGAAGGAAAAAAAAAATCAACTGGCAGTAGTAGTGTTCCAAATCATATTTTCTAAGGATTTTGTGGGGCTCTTATGCTGCTGAAAATAACTTCTTGACATAAGGGCTGGATTTTGAATGGACCAGCAACCCTCAGGAGAGAAGCAGCAGACATATATTCATTTTCAGCTTGTAAGAACTAGATTATTTAAAACATAAAAGATTCCTTGATATATGCGTTTGGCACCACTGTGAGTGATAATAACAAAGGCACCACTATTAAGATGCAAAGTGTATTATTGCTACCTTCGGGGTTTATCTCTTAGATCTTTCCCCTGTACCAATCCAGCAGGGATTTAATGATGTTCTGTCCACAAGTTTCCCCCCAAGAGCTGTGGGGAGGACAGGATTTGCTCCTCAAAGCAAGCTTCAGAGGCACAATGCAGAAAAGAGGAGAAGAGACAGATCAGGGAAGAGCTGAGCAAAGACTAGAGGGAGAGTAATACAAGATGAGAAGGAGCGAGAAAAGGGGGGAGAGTGAAAATACCGCAAAATAAAAGCAAGTACGAGCTGTAGGGCCTCCTTCTCTGAAGTTTATGTTTCGGTGCGTTGCTGTGAGGAGAGCTTCTTGCAACCACAGTCCTAGTCTAATCCTGAACAAAGCATAAAGCCGTTTTTGGCTCCTCATTTGGTATCACTCTTGCCCTGCAGGTGATGGAGTTTGATTCCTGAGCTGTGGATAGCGGGGATGTATATGCATAGCCTTTAAAGACCTGTGAGTGCATTATAGGCACAAAAGCTTTCCTCATTAGGAATGCTTTTCTCATTAAAGACATAAATGAGAGATTATAGGCCCTCACAGATGCTTAGCTGTAGCTAGCTCTTTTCCTGGATGAGGAAAGATTTTCATCCAACCATTCGGGTGAATTGCCATTGAAATGCAGAGCTTCTGGGGAGGGGTGCAGCTGGCCTCATACAATTTTTCCTAAGTCTGCTACTCATGGGGAGAGCAATGCAGACACCCAAAAGTTGGCATCTAGTGCTATTTAAGAAGCTTTACAGTATCTTTCCCACCTCCAGCTGCCTCTCCAGAAGTGCACAATCTCTCAGGCATCCTGTGTTGTATCTGCCAGCCCTGCTGCAGGTGTCTTGGATACTCTGGGATGTCAAAAATGGCACTTGGTGCCTATGTTTAGGACCTGAATCAGTCCCAACGTGGTATAGCTGTGAGACGCTTACTCTCTCAGAAGGGTGAGAACAGTTCCCTTTGCAATTTATAGGGAAAGTTAAAAGTAGATCGACTGTTGACAAGTCAGGTTGGCTGGTTTACAAGAGACAACTATGTTCAACAGATGGGAAGAAGCTGCCAGATCTGGATTAAAAACCAGATCCAAACAACCCTGCACTTGAAAGTATTTGATTTGCTACAGTCTGAACTGTGGGGCTCAGGTAAGAAGCAGCAGGTCCCTCGATACAGCTTTGCTTTATGATGGCAGCGCCCAGAAAGTTTACAGAGATGACTTGTTCCATTTTTATTTTTAATATGGATTCTATGATTAATGCTTCTTGGAAATATGCAACGAAGTTGGGTTTTGCACTTCATTTTGTTTGCCACTGTAACGATATCATACTATTTCTTTTCCTCCCACTACGTGTGATCAGGTGGTTCTTCAGGAAACCTCCTCTATTTAATAAAAAGGTGAGTCTTTAACGGGATTCAAATGCTGACGGGGGGTACGGAAGCATTTCTGGAGTCCTACTTCTTTAAGAAATGTATTAACCACAAAAATCCTAAAAAGCATAGCTTCCCTTGGCCACTGTGCTCTGAAGCGCTGGCGGTTCCTTCTTTGGTATAAACATTCATCAACAGAATCCCACTGTTTTCAAGTGGGGATTTCACCATCTCCAGGGCCTTGATCTTGGCCCAGTTAAGGCAACAGAGCATTTCCAGTGATTTTAGGGAAAAGACTAAGCCTTTCCCTAAGTCATCTGTGCTTTGTGTCCCCCTAACTGCATTACTCCTGGTTTGTAGCAATGTACATAGACACGGGTAGGTCCAGTGTATTATCTCCATATGGATATGATTGAGCAGCTACTAGATAGCGAGAGGCAGCAACTCTCCTTTTCAGATGAATTGGGGTGGGCTGTGAGGCAGTTGGGTTGGGTTTGGTTTGCTTGATGCTGATGCAGTTTACATCCTAAGGTACTTATCATTCTCTCCTCCAGAAAAAGTAGTAATGAATCTTTGCCCTCTAGCACTGAACTTCAAACCACATCCTGAGTTGATCTAGAGCCCAATCCTACACATAACCTTAGTTGTCAGCCAAATATAGTCTTCCTCTCCCATCTCTGATTAACAACTTCCCATCTTGATTTATGTCTTTGCCCTGAAATGAAACTACTTGATTTGGCTTCTGAATAATACAAAGAAGATAGAAAGCCAGCAGGAGAAACAGTGAAAAACACAAGTCCATGAGGGACAAAAGGGAGAAATTAAAAAAACCATATTTAAAAAATACAAAACTATAGTGAAAAAGGGAAAAAGAAAGCAACAACAACCAAAACAAAAAAACAAAACCAAACACCAACCACATAGTCATCTGAGCATTGGCCAGATCTAAACAGGCTATTTCCAAATGTGATCTCATACAAGCATGGTGTGATATTCAGTCACTGGGAATGTATTTCCCCATTAATATAGCTGCTTGTTTATCTTAGCTTGGCCAGAAATCAGCTGTTGGACAATCCAGCCATAGTTACCTACGCCACGATTGGGAATGATGTCTGCAATGGGTAAGATGTAAACCAAATTAATGTTTATAGTATCATAAATTTGACTTCTCCAGAGTACTGCTGGCTGCTTGGACATTCATGTCTCACTGCTTTGTGCTTCCCCATGATGCCATTTTTCTTTGATGTTGGTCTGTGCTTTGTTCTTATTTTTCTGCTGAAAGTAATAGTAGTTGCCCTACCTGTATTTGTTGTAGGCACCTACCAGTCCTCGTTTGGAGCTTGTCTTCCTTCCTTTTACAAGCCGGTGATACAGTGGCCAATGGCCTGTCTGAAGTAGAGTATTTCTAACTTAGCAGATGAAGTATAACAACAGCAGAAGGGAAAAAAAAAAAAAAAAGAGTTTAAAAGCATGTATATCCATTTTACTCAGTGTGTCACCTCCTGTCAGGAGGGAGAGTGTGACTGGTTTACCTTTTCCGAAGAAAGACCACGTAGTTCTCTGTCGAAGTCTATTTTCACCCTGCCTCTGCTGCAAGCTTCCTGCAGTCTTTGCTGTGCTCTCCTGAAGAAGTGTTTTGTCTTTTTGGCTTTACTCGCGTCATAAGCTCTGCAGGAGAGTGAACTGAAGCTTTCAAAACTAATAGTTCTGGCATTACCCATTAGCAATGCTCACAGGGATGCCAAGAGGTCACTAGCTCGTTGCTTTCCTTCCTCCGGAAGGCAGAAAACCCCTTGCAACCAGGCACATCAGTACCACAGATTTGGTTTTGCAGGTGGTCCAAGTGCTGTGTAACATTATTTTCACCGTGATGAATCTTCAGGTTTTCTTTTAAGCGGAAGAAATAAATCTGACTTATGCAGGCACATTCAAAACACTCAGTAAGTGACGCACGCTCAGCTAAGTGCCCTTCCAAAGCTTTTGAGAAGTCTCACCTGCAGGTCGTATAATGAAGTTGGAGCATTACACAGGCTGTCAAACTTTGCCATTAAGTTGTCTTTAAAAGCCTAAAACTTTGCCTAACAGCAAGTGCTTGGGTTGAAACTTGGCTCATCGGATGTTGTGCTCCAAATGGGGACACCAAAGGTCAGGCAGGGCTTTCCCTGGCACTGCAGCACCGGGGAGCCCTCAGCTGGGGCAGGAGTGGGACCCCAGAGACCACCTTTTAGGTCATTCCCTGGCACCACCATCTCCCTGGCCACACGCAGAAATAATCTCCCATGAAACCTTCACCCTTGGCATCTCCCTCTGGTGCTTGTGCTGTCTCTGTGCCCCTGCCCAGAACGGCCAAACCTGCCCTCAGCACGCTGCTCCTCAAATCCTCAAAAGTAACGCCACCAACCTTTGACTGAGTGGGAAAAGCAGCCACAGACCTCCTGCTCCTTGCTGACAGGACTGGCCTGGGTGTCTGGTTATTGAGAAGCTTACGGAGGTACCATTAGAACCACCTCCAGGATGATGAACCCCCCGCCCCCCCTAAAATAGTCCGTGGCTCCTGCTGCAGAGACTTTTGAGGTGTCTTGGCCCAGGCTCTGTTCTGTACATATTTCAGTTCTGTTTCACTTTGCTAAAAGCACCTCTTTCCTTTGTTTTATTCCTCATTCTGCAGGTTATTCCTTTCACTTCCCCTGTCTCTAACACTGCTTGCTATTCTTGCCTGAAGTAAAAAGAAATTTTCTGCACATTTAAGCAATCTTGGACTTGCCTTGCCTATTTGTATGTTCCAAAACAGTATTTATTACTTGAAACCCTCCTGTCTTTTTATCCCAGCATCCATTACCTAGCAGAGACACTTTTGTCTGCTCAAATTCTCTCTGCTGTCTGTTTTCTTACAAAACATTTGCAGCATCAACAGGGGCTCTCAGGCTGTAGTGATCCCCGTGACTCCAGCAAGGAAAGATGCTGCATCTTCTGTAGCAACATGCTGTCTCCATGCTGTTTCCATCAAGTGGGATGTACAGCGGAGAGAGATTTTTTTCAGCATCCGGTCACTGTGTGTAGCTGCCCTGGCTCTGATGTACCCACAGAGGTTACGGATGCTGAGCATCCGATGGGCTTGACTTCAAACCTAGGGCTTGACAAATACACTGTTCAAGGACAGCTTTAAACTGCAGTAATAGAGCCTTTCTGGCCTTATCCTGGATTTTACCTTCAAAAGAGAGCAGTGTGCTGAGCACACCGGAGACACAGCTCTTAGCCAAAGCATTGTTAAAATGCCAGTATTTCATCCCACACGAAGAGCAGGGCAGTGAGTAATCTGGATGTTTGTAGGGGAGAAAGATAATGAAATTGGCAGCCTGTGTTACACGTTCCCAGTAGTCTCCACACCGTGGTGTCCAAACAGGGGGGTTAGAAAAATAAAGACAGATGGCAATGATATCTCTCATCCCACTGAGGTGTAAATGTGGGACACAATGTGGGACATACAGACCTGAAACAAAAAAAAAATCCAGTCAAGAAAATAACGAGCTCCAGCAGTCTCAAATACTGTACAATTATTACACAAATTAGTTGTCCTTGGGGTAAGGCACCATTTCTCCAGCCTTATTCCCAGCTTTGCAGTTAACGGCATCCGCAGCAAACTGAAAGGTGACGGCAGCAGAGCAGGGCAAGCAGGCAGCCACCAGGAAGGGAACCTGTACAAAGCGGCACTGGCCACCAGCAAGGGCGTAACGCTCCCTTATTCTAAGGCTACCGTCACAGCGCAACACCTCTCGGCCTCGTGTCCGGGGCACGCCACCCCTCTGCAGCAAGCTGCTGCTGAGCTGCTGCACCGTGGGTCCAGCTCTGTGGGTACACGCGTGTGGCACGTGGGAGCGTGTGCTCGCTCACGAGCTGGCCCCTATGCCAGTGGCCCAAATCCTGGGCATGTAACAGCACGTGGCTGGAAAGCAGACGTGTGACTGAAACATTGGGGGAGGGGAATATTTATTTGGGTCACAGGGAGGAGAGAATCTTTGTCCTGCAGGACACGGCAGGCCAGGCCCACGAACCCCATGCAGAAGGAGGGTGGAGAGCTGTGTTCGGACTGTGGCAGATCCTGTTGTAAAGGACTGGAGGCGGTCTCTGTGGCAGAGGAGAGCTGGAAAAGCTTTGCACGGATTGAATGGTTTTGTTTGGTCCCTCTGTGTTATATGTGTGCACAGTACCTGTGGTGTTAGTACACCCTGGAGCTGTGTGCACATCCAAGGTATTACGGCGTACTTGTGTATTTTAGGGGGCAGGGAGCGCTCCCTAAAATGCCCAGATCCAATGCAGCAAGAATCCTAACATTAGTGTCTGCTTGCTGTACTCTGACACAATGAACCATGGCCAGCATCAGCTTCCAGAGGTCCCAGGTGGGCAGAGGCCATCATGGGCACCCTGTGAGGGTACCGCAACGGCCCCCACTGCTCACCCAGGAACTTTGAAGTCCTTATGACAGAGCCCAGAACAAAACACGCCGACAAGACGGCTTGCTTCTCGGTCAGTTTTCATTTCATAGCCTGGCACAGAAAGGAAATGTGAAGAAATTCACTGAAATATCTGCATGACACCAGTGTAGAATAACAGGAGAAAGTGGAGTTATGAATGTCATATTAATTTCGACTCACCCTGACGTGTTTACGTGCAGTAGAGGTCTTCCATCAGAGCAGTATTTTGAAATCAACTGCTGCAACACCTGTAGGTGAAATGAAGTAATTTAAGGGCAAAACCACAGCCTTATCTCAAAAGTACCTTGCTTGGGTGGCTGTTGCAAGGATAAGCCTGAATCTTAATGCTGTTTTTCAGTTCTCCCTAACCAGAAAGTCTCAAACGCTTCAGCAGCACATACTGCATTAAGATACAGTTCTGGGTCTAGGGAACTTGTCTAATTATTATTTTGTGTGCAAAACACAGCCCACTGAAGAATCCCAAATCCTTGCTAGGGCATGCAGTTCTCCCACACAGGACTCAGCACCCCACCCTCTCCGAGCACAAACATTTCTAATGCCTTGGAGAGGGAAAAACGCTTGTGAAAGCTCCTGCTTCTGTGCTGTTCGCTGACCAGAAAACCGACTTGATTCCCCAGCAGCTCACTTGGCACTGCAAGCATCAAGTCTGCCCTTCTGTTACCCCTGGGAAGCCATGAAAGAGATTAAAGGACCTCCCCAGGAAAAGGACCTGGATGGAGCCTGCTGGCTGCTAAGCTGATCGCTTCCCTACAAGCCCACGAGGAGAAAATGTAGGAACCGCTAAAACAATAAGGATGGACGTTAGTGCAACCTTATACACTACTTGGAAGGACATCCTGTCTTTCTTCTTGAGCAATGAGGTCGGCTCATTAGAAGGTGTTGAGGCTTTCTCTCCAAAAGTCTTTGGCCAGCTTAGCTGCACCACCGAGGGAGGACCAAACCTGTCAGGAGAGCCTGCTTCCCAAGGCGCACGGTCCGTGCCATGTCTGGCCACACACACATTGATGTGCTCTAAATCACGGCTGTGATGCCCTTCCTGCTATTTCTGGGCTCTCTTTTGAGATCTTATGTTGCACGTGCATGTTTTTATTGTCCTTCCCATTTAAGAAAAAGGCAGTTTATGGATTTACACGCTCTGCTCTGGCGTGCCCCACAGGGCCCAGACCACCCTGTAGTTGCCTGGGGTTTGTGGAAGCACGCAACGGTGTCCTTTTCATCTCGCTGACTCCGCGCACTGAGAGAGGGCAGTGGGACATCTCCAAACAGTGGGAAGCTTTTCCCCAGACCTGACCCTGCTCTGCCTCTCAGGTGTGTCTGGAGCAGGGCCCCATGGAACTGAGGTCTCCCCTGTGCCAGAGACCCATGGATCCTCTCTTGCTGGGATGGGGCAGCCTCCTCGGAGCAGCGTTCACCCACTTGCTTACAGCCCCTGTTATGGACATGTGCACCCTGAGAGTGTGGCAACAGCTCTCGGGGAGGGGGGGGAGCGGGAGAGCGCTTTGTCTGTACTAAAATGGTTGTTTTAATAACATAACTAGAGCGATGTTCTCTAGGCAGCCTGGGGTGGTTTTGCTTGTTTGTTTTTCTTACGTAAGTTAAAATTTATTTCAACTCTGGGATTTTATATTTTTC